ACAGGACCACCTCTGGGATGCTGCTCATCATGGGTGAGTCCTGCTCTGCCTGAGTTTGTGGGAGCTTGGTTTCAAGTCCTTGGGCAGTGGGTACAGAGTGAGTTACTATTTCCCACTCCCCTTGCTTTAGCTCCCACCCTGGGCTCCATTCCTAAGATCCTGGGCTCATTGGGAGAGGGATTTGTTAGCTCTTGGGAGTCCTCAACCGTGGTGTGACCAGTCCTGAAGTGGGAGGTTCACAACCGCTCCTGTCTACCAAGCTCCAGTCTGTCTTTTACTTTCCTAGTCATTCTTTGTTATGGTCCTGCTCTGAGTAGACAGCTGGCTGCATACATCTAGATACCTGTGCTTCTGCATGGTAGTAAGGGTGGGATCCTGGTATCCAGAGTGTGGAGGCCAGATAACTACTCAGCTCATTGTCCAGTATAAGATGTCCCCTCTGGCCAGACAGAGGGGACAATTTACTATCATATCAAAAGAAAATGGCAAGGTTGGGGAGATGACTCAGTTTTCAAGCATGAGGACCTGAACTCAATAAAATCAAGCTGTAATGGTGCGCGTGAACTCAATAAAATCAAGCTGTAATGGTGCGCGTGTAATCTGACCACTGAGGGTTGGGAGACAGGAGGATCCTGGGAAGTGTAGTGCACTGGCCAGTTGGCCTAGCTGAATCGAGCTCAGGCTTAGTGAGAGCCCAATATATAAGAGCCATGAAGAAACTCATGTTTTCTCAACCTCTTGATTCAGTGTGCACAAACAAGCACACCCATACACGATCTCATCATATACAAATTCATATGTCCACACAGATACACACATCCAGTATATACACAGACACAAAAGAAATGAAAAAAGAATTTAAAAGAAAGAGAGCTTGTGCGATGACTCAGTGGATATTTGATGCCAAATCTGAACACTGGAACCCACATGGTAGAGGGGGAGAACTGATTCCTGCAAGTTCTCCTCTGACCCTCACATGTGCACGCACACACACACACACACACACACACACACACACACACACACACAAGCCAGCACAAACTTATGTATAGTCAGCTAAGATACAGACTGTCAGTTGTACTGCAAATGACGGCTGTCTCAGTACAATGACCCAGGCCGTCTCCATTTTCACAGGGCAGCTCTGGACACTGTGGTACCCAAGGAGGACACATAGCTCCAAAGTATCCTCCGAATGCTAACTAACATCACCAGCCACTGAGAGCCAGGTGTCCACCCTGAGCCCTGTAGCACTCACTACACTTTTCACCTCTGCCAGCCTTCTCCAGCAACTCTGCTCCCAAGTCTGGAACAAGGCACTGCAGACCCATTTCCCCTGCTTGTGTACATTTGGGGCAAGAATGTCATACACATTACAAGCTGCCACTGAAGGAGCACTACATCTTCTACCGTGAATGGACTTCATTTGGGAAGTGAATCTATACGTAAGATTTCACAAGTGAGTGTCCCAGGGACCCGTCTCCCTGCATGGTCTGCACCACCTGGTGCCAGTTCCATGTGCAGCAGCTGCAGCCTTGAACTGGGGAGTAGGAAGTTTCTTCTGCTGATCTCCTGGTGTTGCCCCTGCAGTTTCCAAGGTCTGGTGCTGGGAGAGATCAGCTGGTCATGTACTTTTGGCGGTGAGGGCTGATGTGACTCTGCAGTAACTCATACTAGCCACCTGCACCTACCTCTCTGCAACACCAATCACTCTTTGCTTCCCTCACTAGCTACTACACAGGTTCCAGCTCCATCCCAATCTCCATCTTCCCAGGCTGCCCACTGCTGAGCCCTGTAGCCTTGTGTGCTGTGGCACGCCACCTGTGTGAGGACCTAAGGGTGTAAGGTAAAGTCCTTCCTTCCTAGTGATCATGTTCACAACTGGTGTTTGTCTACTGCTGCTTTAATTTTAGCAATGCTGTTTAGCAGATACAAGACTTGTGGCTAAAAAAAAGGTAGAGAATTACAGTAAAGACAGAGGAGAGAAAAAGAAACACGATAAAGAGGTTTAAGAAAAAAGAGAGTAGCTGGGTGTAGTGGCACATACCTTTAATTCCAGCACTAGGGAGGCAGAGGCAAACAGATCTCTGTGATTTCAAAGGCAGCCTGGTATACAGAGTTAATTCCATGGCAGTCAACGTTACACAGAGAAATACTGTCTCAAAAAATGAAAAATTTGAAGTAAAAGAAATAGAATAATAAAAAAGCCACCTAAAGATGGGAAATACAGAGTCTGGATACTGTATGTTATTGTGTTGTCTGTGAATGGCTCAATTGCTAAAGAAGGAACAATAATTGCTATAATACACTTGATTATCAATGCTGCTGAATTAATCCAATTTGTCTATTTTTAAAATGCTTTGACTTCAAAATTTAAGTCTAAGGACAGGTTACTGGGGAAAAGAATTTCTAGTTTTGTTTTCACAGAAAATGAAAAGCCTGGATTCCTTCTAGACTATCATGGTTTGATCAAGCAAGACCCCCTGAAACAGGGTCCCAAGTGATCCAGCATTCAAAACAGCTGGGACAAGGCAGCCTTGCAGACTACAGCCAGGCTTTCTGCATCTTCTTAGGATTCCCATGGTATTACAGCATCCCCAACCAGCAGGAAAGAATGATGCCCAAATTCCCAAATATTGTCTATAAATGATTGTTTTCATTTAAATGGGGTTGGTTATAAATGATCACAACCCATGTCTTTTAAAGGTACAAAGCAGATTATGGTATAGAAATGAATACTTTGTTTGGAACGGATTTTCATTTATTGATACAAATTTAAGACCAATTTTGTGACATGTATATTTCTCCTCTTGTTTAAGTATTGTGTTTATATAGCTCATTTAAAAATATCATGTATAATTAAGTACAAATTATAGATAGTTACCTATAATAGTCAGAACTTATAGTTAGGTTTGATAGGTTTTTATAGACATATAGAGATATATTTAAAATGGATAGGCATTCTTCAAACCTTTCAAAGACCTACAGAATATGGCATTTAAAATGGTTTAGGGTTTTTCTTGACCGTGAGACATAACTGCTCCTGGTAACACTGCCTGCGTCAGAAAGGAAGATAGACATGGAAGAAACTCATTATGAAGTTTGCTTCTGATATGGCAAGGCTAGCTATTTGGATAAGATACTGCTATTGTCTAGACTGTTTAACTATATGCTTTATAAAGTAGATGTGCAGGACCCACAGGAAAGTGACTGCTGAAACAAGATGGACATTGCTACAGGGTTTCTGCTTAATGGAAGAGTCTGCCAGACAGTCTGCAGGACACAAAGAAAAGTAACTGAAAAACTGCCAATACAGGCAAACAGTTTGAAATTCCCTGTTTTGCTGAGGACTCTGCCAGACACACTGTGGACTATGGGATGGAAGATAGAACATTACAGAAAAACTTCGAGTGACTGACCAAGCAACAAGTTTCTATCAATTCTAGAGTTTATATATTATCCTTCTGTGATCTTTGATGGAGTTTAAGACAGGTAGTTATGGTTATAGTTTTCCTTAGGATTAAAGATAAGTTACATATAGGAATTTAGACTCACAAAGATAGGATAGATGATAGAATATTTTCTTTAAATCTTGACAATGTTAATGTACTAAATATTGTAATTATAGTTCTTTCTTAATAACTGTTTTGTTATATGTAATTTTACTATCTTAAAGTTAAAACCCTTCTTTTTATTTAGACAGAAAAGAGGAGATGATGGGGAATGTTCTTCTGTATAAATGTTTGTCTTGTTGATTGGTAAAACACTGATTTGCCAGGCAGGAAGTAGTGTAGCATGGCAGATACTGCCACTAGTTAACCATAGAGGTCGGGAGGTCTGTACAGACAGGCAGGAAGTGACGTAGCTGGGCAGAATCAGAATATAAGCATGGACAAAGAGGAAATAGCTCTCTTCTCTGCAGAGATGTAACATCAAAGGATACACAAGTCTGGCATTCCCAGTAAGCCAAGACCATGTGGAAATACTTAGATTAATAGAAAAATGTGATAATAGTTAAGTCAGAGCTGGCCAATAAGAAACCATAACCAATGGCCGACAGTTTCATAATTTAAAAAAAAAAATGAAGCCAGGAAGGCTGAAGAAATGTCCCAATAAAGTGCTTTCTCACAAGCATGGAGACCTGAACTCCACACAAACAGCCAGGTATGGTAGCAGGCACTCTAGAGTGTCAGAGATGAAGGGTCCCTGGGGCTTGCTATTCAGAAAGCTTAGTCAATTGGTGATCTCCAGGCCAATGAGACGCCCTGTCTCAAAAAATCAAAGTGGAGGCTGAAGAGATGGCTCGACTCAGCTCTGCTCTTCTAGAGAAACCCAGTGTGGTTCCCAGCACCCATATATGGCAGTTCACAACTGTTCTGGTGGAAGATTCACCCCAGCCCCTGGCATCTATGTACTCAAAGAGTCTGGAATATTATGGAGGAAGTTCCACCCAAGCCTCCCTCCCCTATCTCCCTCCAAACCCTGCTGCATCTCAGAAAACTCACCAAATGATGACGCCTCCCCCAGAGATGTTCAAGGTCACTCCCACAGGGTATTTAAACTGCACCCATCTTTCTTTCCCATCTCCACTCTGGGGGAGGGGGGATAGAAGGCCATCCAGGAGTGTTGTATCCATTGAACATGGGCTTTTTCTAATTCGGTTTGATTCGATCTGATTTGGATTGCTGTGTTGGCAGAGAAGCTAATCTGGGTGCAGAAACTTTTCAACAACTGCCTGGAATCCAGCTCCAGAGGATCTGGGGTTCTCTTCTAGTCTCTGTGGGAACCCATGTACATGTAGCATGCATTCATACAGACACATATGGTCTGTAAGTAAAAAATAAAATAAGTCATTTTGAAAGTAGACAGCACCTGAAAAACAACACTGAAATTTAACCTGGCCTCTACATGTACACACATACAAATCATACATGCACCCACACACATGAAAATACTTATAAACAAAAAAATTAAAGTTAAAAATTAAGCCTGAGCCTATCAGATGTTGTGGCCAGGGAACATTGACCAGCTTTATTTAAAGCAGAGGCCTTCTGGGAAGAGGTGTAGGCTCTGGGCCCTGCCTTTTCCTTTCTTGACACTAGTTTTCCAGCCAAGATGGAGAGAGCAGTGAGGGCCCACACTGCTGCTTCTGCCAGGTCTCTGCAGCAACTCCCTTTGCACTAGGAGTCTCTGGGTAACTCACAGGCTTCTGTAGACCAGAAGGCGATGAGGGCTAGACAGGCAGCATGCCTGTCTAAAGAACTTGTGAGGCTTGGGATGGGAGTGAGGGACAGCCCACTCATTACCAGCATGGGGAGGCTTCTTTGTCTTGGCTGTTTGCCCCATTTTACTCCTCATAAACGCCTTGAAGATCTTCAGAGACTCTATGTTTGGATTCAGAGTACGGCCTGCAGGGCAGATGGGGTGAGTGTGAATGGTAGGAAGGCAGGGCCTCTAAACACACACAGAGAAGAGAGGAGCTGGAAGCAGGCAGCTCCTCCCAAGAGCCCCAGGCATTGTGATAACTAACTAGAGATGCTGTCCTAGGAGTACTCAGGCACAGCATCTATCTCCCCAGCCTAGACCTGGGAAGGACAGCTAGGAGGAAGCTCTCAGGCAGCTTCCTAGGAATACCAGACACTAGACTGAAGGAGCATGCTGTGGAACTGAAACCCCCATGATGGCTCCCTTCTGAGGCTCCATCCTCCAAGTCCTGGTAAGCAGGAGACAATATGTAGGATTCTCTGCACAGCCACTCTTCCTGGGTTCAGGGATGCCCTGCCCCACCCTGCCCCAGCCCCTCCAAGGCAAAAGCCCTGAGCTCCAAAACTAAAGGAGCATCAGGTGAGAAAACAAAGAGTCAAGCCATAAGTCACTCCTTTCCCTGAATCGGGCCCCAGCCCGTCCTAGTGGAACCCCATCTTCTGGGTCATAAGAGCCCATCCCCCATCCAAGAAAGGCTCATCATGCAGAGTGATATCCTCAGCTCCCCCAGCGTCCCCTGGCAGATCCTCGGTTCTGACCTCTCCCCTGGGATACTAAGTCTCAGAGTCTGTACCCTGAGTCCCTCCTGGCCAGAGTTGTCTGCATCACCCCAACTCCAACCTACAGACCTTTTCATGATCTGAAGGTGGAGCTGTTGGAACCCAGCAGTCTGCTGAACCCGCCCCCTGACGATGGGCAGGATGCTCATGGCCACATCATAACTTACCTGGCTGTGCAGGGGACTCAGTTATGCAAGCAAAAGCTAGTTTCCCTTTTTAAAGCAAACCCGTCCCTCTCTTGCTCTTGCTCTTGCTCTTGCTCTTGCTCTTGCTCTCCCTCCTCTCTCTCTTCCTCCTCTCTCTCTCCCTCTCTCCTGCTTTCAGTTGGCCACCAGCTACCCCCCTTCTCTCCCCTCCACTAATAAACTCCACTGAGCCTCCTGTTTGTGTTTCATAGGTGATAATTATAGCAAAAGAACAACAGCAGCCAGTGGGAAATACTTCTGTCCTTATCTCCTTGATCCATGACAAGACCCTGCCCAAAGCCTCCATGAGGTTAAGGCCAAGTGTGGTAAGACAAGAAGTAGAATGGGGAAACGAGCAAAGAATGCAGGACAAGAGCCAGAGAGGCAGCCCTGTGAAGGTATATGTCAGGAAGGGCCAGGGCATAGCACTGGAGAACACCAGCAGAAGTTAAAAGTGAGGTGAGAGCTATAAGGTTCATGACGGACATGTGGCTCTCCAAGATTATCTCTGTTGGCCTTTGGAAAACAATATTCTTCCTGGGAGCATCCTGTGTCCAATAGGGTATTGGACAATGTGCCAAGATCCACCCTCTGGATATCATATCTTCACCTCTGCCACCATGACAACTTCACATGTCTTCAGATGTCTAGATGTTCAAATGTCCCAATGGGCTCCAGCCAGATCCCTGCAGGACCATACCAAAGACTGACTGGGTCAGGGGTGCAGGGGACAATAAAGTCCTGGATGGATCAAAGTGGACCAAAGACTCAGTCACAATAATTGATCATATGAGAGCTGAAAATGAGATGACCAAGAGCTTAAAACCCACCAAACCAAATCCAGGAAGTGCAGGAGTAGATTCTGGTAAGGAAGAGGGTGAAGCAAGCTGGGCAGGAAGACATGGACCTGGTCCATGCCTATGCCCAGGACACATGCTCAAACACAAAAAAAAAATCTAGAACCCACCCATGAGCATCATGATCTGGAAATACCAATAGTTCATTTTGCCCCTGAAGTAGGCAATGGCGAAGTTCTTCCCAGGCAGGAAGTGGATGTAGATGAGGTGCCTCCACCCTGTGGGCAACACAGTCATGTGAGCTGAAGGTCTCCCTTTGAGCCTTTACTGAAATAAGAATTGGAACCCAGCGACTTACAGGTAAGGAATGTGCCAAGGTCCTCTCCCTCATACAGGGCCAGCTTGAACGGAATGCAGCCAATGGGTTTCCTAGAATGCAGGGTTCAAGTCTGGCTCTCCCCAGGATACCCAGAGTCCTTCCTTACTCCCAATCCTGGAGCCCATGCTGGCTTCTCAGGAAGACAGCAATGCAGTAGTAGAAAACTTATCATATTCAGCACTGGTGGTGAACACAGCAGGTGAAGACACCTTAGATCATGAACTTAGTTCAATGTCCTGAAAGCATCCCTCCCAGTGGTCACCTGATGCAACATAGAAAGATACCATATTCCCTGAGTGACTAGCTGAGGTGAGGCAGCATGTATGTAGCAAGGGTTGGAATTGTTTAGCGGCAGCAAAAGATTGCCTCCACAGAGACTACTCACGTCAGGTTCATTCTGAACTCCAGCTCCTCAAAATTGTTTCTTTCAAAAGTGAAGGGAGGCAGTGGGTCTCTCCATTTCCACTCAGGAATAGGCATGTCTCCTGCCCAGCGCTTTATGTACCACTTCCCTAAAAGCTGGAGTAGGAAGCCACAAGTACACACAGTTGCAGGGAGAGAGGGAGCCAGGAAAAGAGAAGCCAGAGGCAAGAGAAGAACGGGGTAGGGACTCAGTGCAGGATGGAGGAGTCTGAGATGCTAGAATGGCAGAAGTCCTGGTCATAGCTGTCCCTCTCCATCATCAGTAGATATCACCAGGCAGGCAGGACAGACACCTCCTGGGAGGAAACGCCTCCTGGGACGAGCTCTGACCGGAGGGGTTTGAGAATTGTGATCTGGAGGACAGAGCTGGCCTTTAATTTCAGAGTGCTGGGCAGGAGGACAGAGCAGAGTGGACATGGCTGAGGAGACAACCAGAGATAAACATGACTACCCCACCTGAGCATGAACTGCCTCACTGTCTAGAGTCAAATCGCTAAGGTGTGACACTTCCCTAGATCCCTGTCCCTAATTCCTTCCCCAGCTTGTGCTGCCTCCTCTAAGAAATGGACTGATCAATATTCTCCTGAAATCAATCAGCTGCCTCCACAGATACACAAGACACAGGGACCTTGAAATGGATGAAAACCTGGAACCAACTTTTTGGAAAAAATATGAAGAAGTTTCTCTAAAGTCCACAAACTGGGAGGAAGTAAGCCTATTCTTGGATATCAGTGCTGGCTACAGCCAGGACAGGGGCCATCTAGCAAGACCCCCTCAACAGCCTCTTAGCTTCTAAGCAACCACAATGAGAAGAAAGCCATGACTGTGGCCTTGGATGCATGCTCAAGCTCCTCTCCCACCACAAAAGGTCCCACCAAGGCCATAAGAGAGGGTACCTCTTCAACATCACCTGTGGCTCCCATCAGTAAGCCTGAGACTCACCCAGGCCAAGGTCTGACATTGGAAGCCACTTCCTACCCTCAGTCCTCCCTCTCCAGGGCCATCACCTGCTCAGCACGAGCAGGAGTCAGAGGAGGCATCATGGCTGGAACCACAAACAGCAGACCCAGCCCCACAGCAAATGTCAGCAGCTGCATGGTCCCAGCTCAGCTCTGCTGCTGCTGCTGCTGCTGCTGCTGCTGCTGCTGCTGCTGCTGCTGCTTGTTGTGGAGTGGCTTGCTCTGGAAGCACAATCCTGCCCTCCCCCACCCACACCAAAGTCACTGTCCACCCCACTCTGTCCAGGAGATTGCAGTTTTGTTTGGATGGGTGTGAATGGAGGAGCTAATTTGTGGAATTAACCTCATGACTGCCTTTGGCACTTCTGAGCACCCTTGTCCAGTGAGAACGTTCTCAGAGTAGACCTAGGGATCTGGAGCCAAGAGCATGACACAAGGGCCCCTTGTGCTCCCACCCTCCCCAGGAGCCAGGATCAGCCCTGGTGTTGAAGGACACCCTGGAGCTGCTAGTCTATGTCAGGCCTCAGTTCCCACACTGAGGGAAGTCTCCCTGCCTCCTGCTTCCTCCTGAGGAGGCACAGAAACAGAAGAATGAAGAGCTGCTCTGCAGGGACTTGGTTGGAGTCTGCACAGAGCTAGGCCCTCGCAGACAATGTTATGGACCATGATTATAATATGTATGCAGTATGAGGAATGACTAGCTGAAGTTCCTATATGTATGTGGTAGTTAATCTCAGTTATCAGCCTGATGAGATCTAGAATCACCTGGGAGATGGGCTGCTATATGAGACTTTTCTCTATTCATCCCAAATCAGGAACCAACAACAGACCAAGGAATGATCACACCAGAGTCCAGACGCATGACTTTGCAGGCAAGTTAGGATGTTAGTAATTTTCCACTCTACACATACAGTTTGGGTGCATTGGGGTAGCTTGCCAGATTCGGGGATGGGGGAAGCTAGACTAGCCTGCATTAGCAGGAGTCTGATGTTTTTCTCTTCATTTGTAATTGGACCTAAGTTGACTCAAGGCATCTTTGAATATAGTCAGCTTTTATTTGTTTGTTTATCTTTTGTTTTTTGTTGTTGTTGTTTGAGACAGGTTTCTCTGTGTAACAGTCCTGGCTCTCCTAGAACTCACTTTGTAGACCAGGCTAGGCTGGCCTCAAATTCAGAGATCCCCCTGCCTCTTCCTCCTAAGTGTTGGGATTAAAGGCACGCTCCACAGTGCCCAGCCAGTTTTTACTTCTAACACAGGTGGAAAGGTAGAAATAACCGAACCAGAGGCAATTCTACACAGGGTGGAAGGAATGTAGTCATCATACTCATTCTCAAGATCCAGCAGGACCAAAAATAAGCAAGACAGGCTAGGAAGCAGGGCCCTTTCAGCCTTCCAGCACCATCTACTGTCAACACCCTGCCCCAGCAGCTAAGGGGAAATGACAGGGTTCAAACCTAGAAAATGTATTTCTAAGGTTCCCACCCCTGTGTCAAGGCAAGGATGCACAATTCCCAACACAGATCCATCCTGGACTCAGGGATGCCCCACCTCACAGTGCCACTGACCCTTTGGGAGGAAGAGCTGGAGAGACAACAATGGAAAAAGGAGATTCCTCCCTGTGATTCTAGTCCCTCTTGAGCAGGACCACTTCCAAGATTGGTCCATAAATATGTTCAACCAAGGTCTGGCCTGATCCTCTGAGGTCCTCCTTCCTCTACTCAGCATGTCCTCTGCAGGGGCTTCTTACTTGGCTCCAACTGGGCAAGGCCTTGCCCCCAAAGGAAGCTCATTCCCAGGTCAAATAGAGTCCTTCTGTCATGGTCTCCTGCTTTCACTGAGATTGGGCAGATATTCTCAGGAGTTCCTGAATGTCCTCTGAATGTAGCCTGGCTGTGGCCAGAAGAAAGACTACAGTACGTGAAAACGTTAGGTATATTTGTGGAGATTTTAATCAATTTCTCATCTTGTATAACCAGGGCTTACCCATGTACATGTTCATGTCTTATATTTTCTGAATGAATTTTTTAGCATTCTTGTCTCTGAATCTGTGCCCATGGAGGGCCTCACCTCATAGGTAATTTCTAGAGCTAGTAAATATCTCATTTGCAAGACCTGCCTGCCATGAGCACAAAACTACATCCACCTTCCATCACTTCATGTCTAAGCCACCATCCTTCACCAGGTGGCCAGATCACTAGGGACACACTGAAGTCCCAAGCTCTGCAATGACTTACGTCAACCAACCTACCCCTGCCTCCCTGTACCTTCCCACTCTTTCCTCAGCCAACACCACCATGTAGGCTCTACCCCATCCCTCTCTCCATCTGCCCAGTTTGTCCCCTGCTGTACCCTATGTGCTATGCTATGGCACCTGTTTGGGGACCTGTGAGTGTAAATGAAAGCCCTTCCCTTCCTGATGACCACAGTCATGTTTGAGCCTCTGCCCACACTGATTAACAGAACATCGGAGCCCGCTGGACCCAAGAGACACATGTGATCAGGGGATATCCACCAACTTTATTGAGCTGAGGCTCTTGGAGGAGGTGTTGATGCCGACCCCTGTGTTCTTTAACACTGTGAGTTCTGCCTGCAGAAGCAGAGCTCAGCCAGGGTCCCAGCTCCCTTCTTCATAGACTCTGCAGCACTCCCTCTGTACTAGGAATCTTGGACCAACTCACAAGCTTCTGTAGACCCAAGAGGGACAACGGGCAAAGCAAACTTTAGGTGAGCTATGTATGAGGAAAAAACAGGCTGCTCATGTGGTCACCATTTTACAGAAGAAATATCCAGAGCACAGTCCTGGGTGAGGAGAATGAACAAAGGGGAAGTGGGGAAGCCTTTGCTTACCGACATGGGGAGGGGTAATGATCTCTCCTGTCTTTGGAAGTTTACTCCCCACGAATTCCTTGAAGATCCTCACAGCATCTAGGTCTGCTTCCAGGGTGCGGCCTACGGGGCAGATGGGGTGAGCATGAGTGGTAGGAAGGCAGGGCTTCTAAACACACACAGAGAAGAGTGGATGAGCCTCACTACAGGCTGGACGCAGGCAGCTCCTCCTAAGAGCTACTCTTCCAACCCAGACCTGAGGGGGAACCTTCAGGGGGAATCCTCCTCCCTCTTCCTAGGAACACCGTCGATAGACTGAAGGAGCATGCTGTGGAACTGAAACCCCTTGATGGCTCCCTTCTGAGGCTCCATCCTCCCAGTTCTGGTGAGCAGGAGACACATGTAGGGTTCTCTGCACAGCTACTCTTTCTAGGTTCAGAGATGCCCTACTCCACCCTGTCCCAGCCCCTCCAGAACAGAAGCCCTGAGCCCCACAACTGAAGGAGCATCAGGTGAGAAGACAAAAAAGGTTCAGTGCTCAGTTTGTCCTTCCTGAAAGCCTGGTCCCAGACCCATCCCCCACCCCATAAAAACTCATCCTGCAGTGGAAGGATCCCTGAATGTCCTCAGCTCCTCTCCTCTGGGCTACCATATCTTAGATGCTGTACCCAGGGTCCCTCCTGACAGGACATATGCACATCACTCCAAAATCTAACCCAAGGCACTTTCCCATAACCTCTTCACAAAAACCCTGCTTGCTGTGGAGGTTGTGCCTCCAATGATATCATGATGGCCATAAAAAGGAAAGGACATGAGAAATTCTGTCTACTAGAGTTGTAATCAGTAACCTAAGGATTCCAAGGAGAATTTAGGCAGCTCCAAGACCCCTGAAATTCTTGTCTGTGAAAAAAAGGGCAGGGTGCTTCAGCCACTACTGTAGCCTAAGACCCTGCACAGGCCATTTTGGGGGGCTTTTATGCCCAGAGCCTCCATCGGGTGGGTTCCATGGGGCCAGCATAGAGGAGAATAGGTAAGCAGAGAATGGAGGATGAAAGAGAAGGCAGCCCAGGGCCACCCGTGTTAAGAAGGATCCCGGGTGCAGAGTTGCTGAACGCTGGCAGAGGTGGGAATTGTGGTGAAGGCTGTAGGACAGACACATTGCTCTGTGGACAGTGTTGACAGGTAGAGGTCATATCTCCACTGGCACTGCTGACTTTGGAAAGAGGATTTTCCTTGGGTGGGCTTCCTATACCCATCAGGGTGTTGGGTTGGATCCCTATATCCATTTTCTGAATAGTGCAATCCCCACCACCACCATGACAACTGCACCTGCTGTCCAATGTCCCCAGTGACAAATGGGCAACAATCAGACCCCTGTTCAGAGCAGAACTACACAAAGGCTGACTAATTGGGGGAGGGAGTAGCCAGGAACTGACTGGATCAGCAGTAGACTCTGATACTACGATTGGTCATATGGGAACAGAAGATTTAAAAAAAAAAAAAAAAAAAAAAAAAGGCCAAGCGCTTACAAATCCCCCTCCTGGTGAATTCAGAAAGTGCATGAATGGCTCTCCAGCAGAAGAATGAAGCAAGCTGGGCAGGAAGACATGGAGACATGGACCTGGTCCGTGCCTGTGCCCAGGACACATGCTCAAACACAAAAAAAAAAAAAAAAAAAAATCTAGAACCTACCCATGAGCATCATGATCTGGAAATACCAATAGTTCATTTTGCCCCTGAAGTAGGCAATGGCGAAGTTCTTCCCAGGCAGGAAGTGGATGTAGATGAGGTGCCTCCACCCTGTGGGCAACACAGTCATGTGAGCAGCAGGTCTCCCTTTGAGCCTTTACTGAAATAAGAATTGGAACCCAGCGACTTACAAGTAAGGAATGTGCCAAGGTCCTCTCCCTCATACAGGGCCAGCTTGAACGGAATGCAGCCAATGGGTTTCCTAGAATGCAGGGTTCAAGTATGGCTCTCCCCAAGGCACCCATAATTCTTCCCTGCTTCCAATCATGGGATAGAGCCATGAGGTCACCTCCTACCACCTCCTGATGCATGACACTTCCAACAAGCCAGGACTCTTCAACTCTTTGGCAGAGGCCCTAAGAGATACACATTCAGGTACCAAAGCCCCGGAGCCTAGAGCTAGCAAGGGATGCTGAGGATGGCAACAGAGGGTTCCTATGACAGGCACAAAGGCTGTAGCTGGTCAGGGAAGCACAGGCACCAGCAAGACCACCAGGCAGTCCATGCTGGGTTCTCTGGAGCCATCCAACAGCAGCTATCTCATTCCAATGGGCAAGGCCTAGAACACAACAGAGTGGTTCCCCGAGCCTCCTGGGTTCCGCCTAGTGTCAACATGAAAATCATTCTCTTGGTTATGGGGGCTGTCTATCAGCTTGCTAAGATAATACAACAGGATTTCATAAGGATGTTAGAGAGGCTAGTTTTAGTCGGGGAGCTTGTAGAAAGGGGGGGTTGGGGTCAGACAACACTGCAGCAGAGTCTGCAGCCAAGCTACTTACGTGAGGTTCATCCTGAACTCCAGATCACCAAAACTGCTTCTTGCAAATGCGAAAGGAGGCAGCGGATCACTCCACTTCCACGAAGGAATAGGCATGTTTCCTGCCCAATTCCTTATGTACCATTTTCCTAAAATCTGAAGAGGAAAGCTGTCTCTGAGAGGGTGACAGTGTCAGAAGCCAGGGAAAGGGGTCCTAAGCTGGAGCTAAAGTGGGGAAAGACGCTTAATGAGGGTCTCAGTGCAGGACTGAAGGGCCTGAGACACTGATGGTTAGGAGGAGCCCTGGTCATGGCTACCCCTCTCGGTCGTCAACAGAGCCAGGCAGGCCTGGATCATGGCCTCCTAGGAGGAACCCTGACCAGACACCATACAGATGCCCAGTGATACAGGTCAACCTTTCTGTGTAAGAAGATGAGCTAGGAGGGCAGGGCAGGGACCAGAGTGGACTGAGATCCAGATTGCCTAGTTATAGGTGAGAACGCAACAGTGTTCTCACTGTGTGTGGGTTGCTGCCACAGTCACCCTGCCAGGGTGTGGCCAGACCAAAATGCAGCTTCTGTCTTTCTCCTGTGGTTGCCAGTTTTCTGAGGACTGAATTCATCAAGCTTCTCCTAAAACAATCAATAGTAGTGTTGGCCCTATGAGCACTGACGCAGACGCCACCAGCTACCACCGTGTTTCTATCTCCTGGGGCCCATGCACGCTTTGCATCATCTGTGGCCTATGCCCAGGGCTTCAGGGCCTGAGTGAGACCTGGGGTGACTGGGTCCTGTTCCCTTTTGAGGGACTTGGAGTGGAAGTGACAGAGAAGAGAGTTGGAGTGCTGAGAAACAGGAGGCAGAGAATGTGACTAACAGTTGACCAGCTCCTGAAAGCTGAAAGAACTTGAAGTCATTGTGAGACAGCATGGGGTGAGCATGAAGGGCCCAACAGCTGGACTAGAGGTATCCAGATAGACTGGATGCTAGCATCAGCCCTGAGACCTCTTCAGAATCAAGTCAGCTTCACCTCCAGAGTGTAGGTATGAAAGATCAGGGAAGCTGCAGCCAGGCTCACTACCCATCAGTAACAGAACCTGGAAGGGTGGCTGGACATCTCCAAGGCTTAGTCTTCCCATAAAAACACTCCAACATTTTATAGTTTTCTTTGAAAAATAGCCAGGCATGGTGTTGCATGCTTTTAATCCCAGCACTCAGGAGGCAGAAAAAGACAGAAGCCAACCTGGTTTACAAAGTGAGTTCCAGGACAGCCAATATTATTCTATTACGCAGTGAAACCCCATCTCAAAAAAAGAAAAGAAAAAAGAAGTCTTGGAAAATCTCTGGCTTTATGTAGTTAGCCAAGTATGAGCCTGCCCTTTGGAACATAAATTCTGTATTAAACCTATCTGGCAAAAAGGAAGAAGCTTTTTTCCAGCCCACAAACTAAGAGGGGAGAAGTGAGTCTGTGGATGTCTGTGTTGGTCACACTGGCCAGGATGATCTGGCAAAACCTCTGTAAGCCTTCCCTTAGCCTCTGGGTACTCCTCAAGTAGAAGAGAGTGTAATGCTAGCTGGTATAATGCTAGCTGGTATGCCTTCCCAAGCCCCTCTCCCCATGCAGCCGACAAACCCCACAAAGAACAGAAAGCAAAGCTCTACTTTGGCAGCTACCTGTGGCTCCCATCAGTAAGCCTGAGTGAGACTCACCCAGGCCAAGGTCTGACATTGGAAGCCACTTCCTACCCTCAGTCCTCCCTCTCCAGGGCCATCACCTGCTCAGCACGAGCAGGAGTCAGAGGAGGCATCATGGCTGGAACCACAAACAGCAGACCCAGCCCCACAGCAAATGTCAGCAGCTGCATGGTCCCAGCTCAGCTCTGCTGCTGCTGCTGCTGCTGCTGCTGCTGCTGCTGCTTATTATTATAGAGTGGCTTGCTCTGGAAACACAATCCTGCCCTCCCCCACCCACACCAAAGTCACTGTCCACCCCACTCTGTCCAGGAGAATGCAGTTTTGTTTGGATGGGTGTGAATGGAGGAGCTAATTTGTGGAATTAACCTCATGACTGCCTTTGGCACTTCTGAGCACCCTTGTCCAGTGAGAACGTTCTCAGAGTAGACCTAGGGATCTGGAGCCAAGAGCATGACACAAGGGCCCCTTGTGCTCCCACCCTCCCCAGGAGCCAGGATCAGCCCTGGTGCTGAAGGACACCCTGGAGCTGCTAGTCTATGTCAGGCCTCAGTTCCCACCCTGAGGGAAGTATCCCTGCCTCCTGCTTCCTCCTGAGGAGGCACAGAAACAGAAGAATGAAGAGCTGCTCTGCAGGAAACTGGTTGGAGTCTACACAGAGCTAGACCCTCACAATGTTATAGACTATGCTTTCAGCCAAAATATACCCTCACCTCCTGTGGCTATGGCAAGAATTCCTTGACTGATGTTTTTGTCTCATCAGGTTATAACCTTGTAGTGTACACTTAATGTTACCTATGTACTCAGTCACTAAAGAGTTATTTGTATAAAAACAAATGTGCCAAAAATATATTTTGCTTCATCCTTTTATTTAAGATTTAATTTTATAGCCAGGCATTGGTTCATCTTTTTATTTAAGATTTAATTTTATAGCCGGCGTTGATGATGCATGCCTTTTGTCCCAGCACTCGGGAAGCAGAGGCAGGTGGATCTCTTTGAGTTCAAGGCCATCCCAGTCTACAGACCTAGTTCCAAGACAGGCTCCAAAGCAATACAGAGAAACCCTGTCTCAAAAAGAAGAAGAAGAAGAAAAAAGATTTACTTTTATTCATGTGTGTGTGCTATATGTGTGGGTGGCCATGGAGGCCAGAAGAGGGCAAGGTATCACAATGTGGGTGTTAGGAACTGAACCCAGGCCCTCTGAAGAGCAGCAGGTGCTCTTAACTGCTGAGCCGTGACAGCTGCTGAGACTTAGAATCACCATGGAAGCAAACTTGGGGGCGATTCCTAGATTGAGCTGACTGAGATGGGGAAACCTACCCTGAGTGTAGGTACTGAGGTCCCATGGCCTGAGGTCCAGGACTGAATACAAAAGGTAAGGCACACAAAGTGCCAGCATCCATCTCTCTCTGCTCCTTGACTGTGGATGCAAGGTCACCACCAGCTGCTCCTAGCCCCTGCTGTGGTGACTTCCCTGCCACGAAGAACTGCAACCTCAAACTGCGAACCATATGCTTTCTCCCTTAATTTGCTTTCTTTGGGTTATTTTATCACAGCAACAGAAAAGGAAACCAAGACGAAAAAGGAGTGATAACAAGAAGTGGGGAAGATGTGAGAACACTGGCTGCTCTTCAGTGAGTCAGGTTTGATGCTCAGCTCAACATGACAGCTCACAACCATCCGTAACACCAGTTCCGGGGGATCTGGGGTCCTCTTCTGGCCTCTGCAGACACCAGGCACACATGTGGTGCACAGACATACACGCAGGCAAAATATTCATACGCATGAAAAAAAATAAGATTTTCAAAAGGAAGTGAGGTCACAGCTGTGCTAAACATGCCCTTGTGTTTCTTAGGGCTTTGGAACTTGATTGTAGCAAGAATGTGTCAACGTTTAGAGCCTTGGGCAGAAAAGCTTTTAAGTGCTGGAAGCAGAGTTTAATGGGTCGTTCAAGAATGCTGAGAGAACATTAGAGTAGACAGTAGAGACCCCAACTCATGGGGTTTCGCAGAGCGAGGACTCTATAAGGAACTGTGATTCTGCCCTGCAGAGTGACAGAGCCAGGATTTCAACCTAGATCCTGTGAGATCCATGGCACCCACTGAAGGAGGCTGCATCCAGATGCTTCAGGGGGTACCCTAAGCTGTGCAGTTCTGTGAGCCTAGTGCCCAGAGAGACAGGCAGAGGTTAGCAAGGATCCCTGAAGCCAACTGCAGGCACAGGGTCCTGGTTCTGCACAGCTCTGAGTCTTAGAGTAAATCATTTTTTAAATGGCAAATAGCCAAGCCAGCGTGATGGATTGTGCGAATCCCTGAGAAACACCATGGGGAACCTTGCTTGTATAGCGCAGGTCGCATTGTTTTATGGTACTCAGGAAGCAGGGGTGGAGGGGGGGTGTCTAGGCATGCCTTCCTAGCGACCCAGTTCCTCCAACAAAACCCTACCCCCACAGCTGGATATCTCTCAAATTTTCAATCCATTAATGGATTAAAACACTGATCAGGTGAGGGTACTCGTGATCTGATCCTGTGAGGAAACATCCTAGCAGACATACTCAGAGAAGTACTATATTAATCTCCTAAATGCCTTCCCCCAGCCAAGCTGACAGTCAAGATTAACCGTTCCTGGGAGCTGGAGAGATGGCTCCATGGTTAAGAGCACTGGCTGCTCTTGCAGAGGACCTGGATTCAGGTCCCAGCATCCACAGAGCAATTCACAACCATCTGTGACTCCAGTGCCAGGGGATCAAATGCCCTCTTGTGACCTCCATGGGCACCAAACACACATGGTGCACAAACATACATGCAGGCTAAACACCCATACACATAAAATAAAAATAAATATTTGAAAAGGTTAGCCACCACATACTTTAACAGCCAATTCTTTGAAATAAGTCCCTCTCAACGCCCCATCTATGTAAATCTATCTGTATAATAGATAAATGATATTTATGTCTTATAATTGTCTTATAATAAGGAAAGAGTTTTGTAACTCAAAACTCTTTGGTAAATAAAAGTCTAAGCCAGCTGGCCACCTTGAATTCTTCCCAAGCACTTGAAGCAGGAACACTGATGACTTGTCAAATGCTTCAAGAAACAGGGAAGAAACCAGTTTCTCAAACTGTGGTGTAGGGTAGGACTCTGCTCTGTTGTGAAGGCTGTCCTGGCTTTCACCTGTCACTGCTCCTGACTGGAACAGGCTCTGAGCAGACAGCTCTGGCTGCTGAGAGCTCTGCAGGGCTATGTCTAGCTCGGGAGCTGGGAGCTCCTGGGAGTTCTGAGTCTCATGCTGCATCTCTCTCTAGAGCTGTGAGTAGGTTCTAAATCTAAAGCTGGCACTGGATGATGCTAGAGCTCTGAAATGAATCTGTGATGAAGCTGGATCTGGAGGCAGAGGCGGTGATCCAGCCACTTCTAGTTCTGTCCTTACAGAACTTGTTGCAGTTGGGGTTGACACCTAAGCCAGCACAGAGTCACTGCTGTAGTTAGCTATGGAACTGGTTCTAGATCCAGAGTCAATAGCCAACCTTGAGCTATGGCTGGCCCAGGCAGTGCTACTGCCTATATCTGGAATTGGTGTTGGAGCTGGTTCTGGACTGGCTGTACCTCTGCTGATGGGGTTCCAGCAGTTGCTCCTCTGTTTCTATCATCTGGAGATGGCTCCAGACCTGTGTGTAACTCAGGACCAACACAGGAGCCTCTTCTGGCATGGGATCTAGTTCAACCACAAATGCTAGAACAAATGGCATGGTGGGCACCAGGATCTTGGCCTTAGAGCAGGAATGGATCCAGAAGCATTACTTCTTGTTGATTCTTCCAGACCTGTTGGCAAAACGGTTAGCACTGATGGACCTGGTCAATGTTCAACAGTTCAAGTGAGCTTCCTTCCACCTCTGCTGCTGCCAGACATACCTCCAAGACCCTTCCTAGGCCCACCATTGCAATCATGTGAGGACAGGACATTTTCTTATTCCTGATGTCTCAGTTCCCCTCTGAACAGTAGAGATGGGTCCCATATTCAAACCTACAGTAAAGATTCAAAGATTTGGACCATGCATGATAGAACATGCCTCTAATCCTAGCACTTGGAAGGTAGAGGCGGAAGGATCAGAAGTTCAAGTCATCTTCAAACACATAGCAAGTTTAAAGGTAATCTGGGCTATATGAAACACTGTATCAAAAAACAGGAAGAAGCCAGGCAATGATGGTATATTCTTTTAAACCCAGCATTGGAAGGCAAAAGAAGGTGGCCAGCCTTGTCTACAGAGTGCATTCCAAGACAACCAAGGCTACACTGAGAAATGAGTGGGGGGAATATGGGCCGGGGAACATGAGACAGGAAGGGAAGCGGGGAGGGAGGCAGACAGGCTAGAAGTAACGGAGGAAGTCCGGAAAAGGAAGGATTGGTTCAAGAATTTGGGACCACCAGCAAGTATGGCAGGCCTGGCCCATGAGTAGCAAAACAGTGCTTACTGACGTGTCCCCGGGCCACAATTCACCCTCAGTCACCCGGGGGATCCTCATGGGTTTCAGGACTCATTAGATGTGTGATATGTACTGTGCTGAACACAACACAGATCCCAGCAGTTAGCTGAGTGTACTATGTGTCTTTGAGCATCACCCTGAAGTAGAACACAGTCAACCTTCAAAATCTGCCGGGCACCTCAAAGCCATGCACAGTGGGGCCCGCGAACTCCTTGTAGCTCCTTCCTGATCCATCTCCAAAGCTTCCTTATAAATGAGGAAGCAAAGCATCACCTCCTTGGCCCCTGAACAATGGTTAGTCAGAACTGGTCCTTCCTCTCTGTGTGGAAGCCTTGACATAACCAAGAACGTGGGAAGTAGAGTTCCCCCCCCCCGCCCACCCCATCACCGGCACCCCCCCCCCAAAAAAAAAAAAAAAAAAAAAACACGGAGCTTCCTGAGAAGGTGCAGGACTCCAAGGGTGGCTTGGAAAATCCCTGAGAGCTTGGCAACACGCAAAATAAGTCACTGAGATCCACTTGATGAGGCAAGATCTGGTTTTATTAGGTCGTTTAGGACCACACTAGCCCAAGAGCCTTTGAGCGGTGTGGGGCTACGAGCGCTGGCGAGGAACTGAGGGTCCACTAGAGGGCGCTGCAGCCGGAGGACAGAGAAGTCCCTCGCGGGCTGCCGTAGGTACTACTATAAAAGACGTGGTGCGACCCTGCTCAGCCTCTCGGCGGCCATGGCGGCGGTGTACAGGTTGTGGTTCTGTCTTCTGTGGTTGACCTGGAACGCCATGGAGGACCCTCCATAGCCCTCGGCCCGCTGGCGGGAAGACTGCGCCTCATACTATCGATCGTAAGAAATATGTCGCGTGCTTTCCCTCCGAGGGTTCAGTCGCCCTAATATGTGCAGCAGTCTAACCTTGTGGTAAGAGGAAGGCAGTTCCTGATGTGCCGGAGAGCCGGGTGGACACCCCCTCCCCCCCACCAGGCCCTGGAAGGAAAACCGAGGCTCCGCTAGAAGAGGGCAGAATTAAGGAGAAAGCAGGAAGTAATTACGTTTATTCTTATTTTACTTACAGAAAGCCTTGGCAAGGAGACCGAACCATGTGGACCCATTGGAATAAGACTGAAATACAGACCTGATGCAGTCCCCCCTGCGATCTTGCCAAGAATGTGTGCAGAATGATCGTTTACTTTCTCTAGGGAATTTGCTGGAAATTTAAGAAGCCGTGAGGACATGTTGGCCTTGGGTAAGTTAACGCAAAGTTACTAAAGATTCAGATGGACGGACTTAGTTCAGCGTCCTGCCCCTAGAGGCGTTGCAGGTGTGGCTGCTGTGTCACATGTGCGTCAGTAGGTGGCAGAGAGGAGAGAGGCTATGTCTACGCTCAGTGTTCTGACCTGTGAACATCTGAATGATTTGTAGCCTAACACTCTGAAGCTGGAGGTGGGATCACCCTCCTAGTTGTTGACTGGTTAGGGTAATTTGATGGACCTAGGTAGACCCAATAGAGAGGCCAGTCTGTGAAGAGATGGTTTGAGATAATAAAGTGACTTGTTGGAAATCATGAAGCCAGTAACCTTCAAAAGGTCCTGGAGCATAGCAATAGCACATATACTTCTGTAATCCTGGCTGCTCACCCAGCCTGGGCTGTAGGGCAAGAGACTGCCTCAAACTACAGTGGATGGAAACAGTGATGGCATCAAAGCTATCCTTTGAGGAGATGAGTGGAGTTACTGCCTGATGATCTGAACTTGTTGGCAAGCTATCTTGACGTGAGGAAAGGTTGCTAGCTACTGCCAGAGAGACAGGCTACATTTTCTGTAGTCCTCACTTTCCAGGACGTTAAACTAGTAGGGCTGAGATGCAGGCCTGGTTCTCCATCCCTGGCACCACAGACAATGGGAAGTGGGTTTGTGCAGCATGGGTTAAGGGGGATGAGTTCAGAATATGGGGGTATAGTAGCACATCTAACAGTGTCGGTGATGGCTGCCCTCTCATGTGAGGATCCATTGTGCATTAGTTTAGTTGCTGTGGTTGACAAACATCCTTGAGGTCATAGGTTGTGCCACCCTGGGCATAAACTACCCATTTGTCCAGTCTCCCCATAATGTCCTTCCCTGCTTGCCATACTAGTCAGAAGAATTTAAAAGTACATTGCTGTGTGTAGTCCTTGTTTAGTGGAGTGGGGCTGGCAGGAAGGAAGTGCACTGATTCTTCTTCTTTGGTGCAGGAAAGCTGGTGACTAAACTCTGCTCATGGTGTGAACTTTATGCCAGATGCCCAGCAATGGCCCAGTTAAGGTAAGAGGTGGGATGGGCCCACTGGAGCATGATGTGTGGACTGTGTGCAGCTGCCCTGAAGATGCTGTCCCACACTTGTCAGCACTACAGGCACAGCTACTCAGCTGTGCCTGGGACATCAGGGCAAAGAGCAAGTGGCTATTTCTACACTCAGTGTTCAGAAGCCAGTGAGCACTAAGAATGGTTTATAGCCTAACATTTTGCAGAGCCGTGGTGAGGTGGTACTGGGATGTGGCTTTGTTGGCCAGACTCCAATGTCAAGAGACCGCAAGGGCTCACCAATAGTTTACGTGGTTGGCATTTAGCAAGATAGAACTTTGGAGTAGGGGGGAGGTTATTCATTCACAAGAGGGATCAGGATATATAAGAAAGTATCCATCCTTTTTTTTTTTTTTAATTTTTCAGATCCAGAAGCCAGGAAGAATAAGGCCTACCTCTGGGTCACATGGCTGATGAGGACAAGTGCAGATGTAGCCTCTGGACCCCTCACCACATTTAAGAGTCATCATTTCCATCTAACCAACTGCACATTGCCTTAGAAGTTATAATTATGTAGGAGGGGAAAGTTAGCTGTAGGTATTGTGACACAAATAAACTTGTTAATTCTTGAAGCTTGTAATCATTTCTATCAGCATTCTCCAATCTAAGGGTGAATGACCCATTGAGTTTCCCCTCATCTCCCCTAGAAAATAAAGCCTGCTAGAGTGAATGGTAAGGGGTTTAAGGGTTTGTGGCTAACTTATACCAAAAGCATTAATAAATGTTTGCTGGCATAGTGCAAGGAAGCATTTTCTCTATGGCTGCTCTGAAGTAGAGCACAAAGATAACATGTTCTGCCTGTTCTTTGTTGGACAGCTGAACTGCATGCAGAAGGGCTGGTTAGCAAAAGGTGTCAGAAGCCTAGAGTGGAGCGGCCATTGTGTGCCACCAGCATTCTGGAACAAGATGGCCTAGGGAATGTTGCTCAGTGGTGTAATGGAGTACTGGTGGTAGAAATGCCAATGCACAAGAGTTCAAAGGGTGGATTGCTGGGTGGAGCTATGCAAATTTTCTAAGAAAAGGTGCATTTGGGTCCACAACACATGCCACAAGCCTTCTATTGGTGCCCAGACAAGAGCGCTAAAATGGAGCCTTGCCTGAAGACTGCTTCCTATTTAGCAAGGGATCCAAATATCCACGTGTCGCATAAAAGCCATTTATTTACATGTTCAGAGGAACAGTCCCTCTGCTCAGTTGTTGGGAGAAAGGGGTGGGGGAGACTTGCTTGCAGAGAGGCAACCTTCCCCAAGTGGATGCTCCACCCACAGCTGGAGCATGCTGCATTAAGAATAGTTGGTATTGGAGATCTCCCTCCAGAGCAAGGTCTTGAGGTGGCTAAGCACTAATGAATGGTGGGCTTCCACCTGGCTGGCCAGTCCACTCAGTGTAGTGCATGTGCGCAGCTGTTTGCCCAGCTCCTCTCGGAGGTCTGCAGGGGCACCGGGCAGCAGGTAATCCCTCAGCAGTTCACATACCTTGGCCAGGTTGGGCTGGATGAGGTCACCCTTGCACTGTCTCATGAGCCTGTCACACGGGGCCCTACAATCTCTCCCATAGATACAGTCAGAACTCTGCTCACAGTGGCGGCCCTGAAGGAAGCGACGCACGGTAACCTCCGGTGTCACCTGCTGCAGGTCAGCCATCTTGAAGTCATAGGCAGCCGTGTATCCCACATTGGCCAGTGTGGTCTCACACATGTAGAAGGTACCATAGGAACCATGGAAGAGCTCTTCTACAAACTCCAGCAGGCCAATAGCAATCTTGGCACGCCAGGGCCATGCAGGTCCAAACCACTGCTGGAGAGCCCTATGCAGCACAGATGGCAGAAGTGGGCGCAAAGCAGGTAGCAGCACTGCCCCCTGCCAGGAGCCATGGGGAATGCCCTCAGTGAGGTAGAGGTCCCCGCAGTAGCCCAGCAGCCGGGAAGCATGCTCCTTCTCCTGAAGGGACAGCAGCAGCAGGAACTCGTTGCGCTGCAGCAGGGCCCACACAGACTTGGCCTCTGCCAGGGACACCCTGCTATCCTTGTTGAAGTCCGCCATGAAAAGGATCTGGTCGACCAGCGCTGGCAGGGAGGGCAGGTCTCCTAGGTTAACCTGACATTTGAGACCAAAAGGAAGGCAGAGAAGCACGCCCTGGTACATATCTCTCAGCTAGCAGAGCACTGAACATTAGAATGTCAACAAGGCCTGCTGACTGCACCACATACCCAACCCCTTCTGTCTGTCACTGTGGGATGGGAGTAGAGCCCACAGCACTGGCCTGAGTATTGAGAACTAATCACTTGGCCCTTGAGCCCTGTTTCCATTTCCCACCAGTCCCTACTTTTACCACACTGGACACAGTCCTGTACCCTCACCACACCTCAGACTCTGCCAGTCCACCTGTTCCCACAAGCCCTGGGAAGATGCTTCCTTGCTGCATCCTACCCAGGTCTTTGTAAACACGCAGCTGTGGGCTACAGTGAAAGTCTGAGCACCCCTGGTAGAACAGACTAACCTTGAGGAAGCTGAGGATCATCTCCTGAAACTCCTTGATGGAGGTGCCCCGGGTGGGCTTGTCAAACAGCACCAGCTCCCGCCCTGGGACTGCACCTGGCCAGGCCTTGGAGTTCAGGTCCTCCTCAATGCCACATTTGATGGTCACCTCCTTGTCCTGCCAGAGCCCACTGTACACCTAAACAAGGCCACAAGTATGTTCCCAATAGATGTCCAGCTTGCCACCAGCAGCAGCTGCCCTTACCCAGCCTGACTACCGTGCCCAGCTGCACACCTGCCGGCCTGGGACTGAAGACAGGCAGGTCCTCCACTCCACCTTCTGCAGCTCACACAGGTCCTGGCAGACAGAGCCGGAGATGATGCCCTTGCGGTACTGGTCACACTGAGGAGACAGACACCAGGGTATGGCCCAGGCCATGGGGCTTGGTGGTCACAGCCCTATCTACTTCCTATGGCTCCACAGCCCAGCCACATCCCTCCAGAAAGGAAGGGACAGAAAAGCCTCTAGCAGCATGGACATAGGGATAGGCCTAACGCTAGGAACAATCCTTCTGTTCCTTCCTCTCGCTGACTTGACTCCTGGGAGAAAGGTACCACCAGTCTATGCCAGGCACTACAACTAGAATACACATAGATGACCCAGACCACGGGCAGGTCCCAACAGAAGGCTTCACTGCAGCCCCAGCTGGGCCCTCAGCATCAGAGCTACGGTCAGATAGCAGCCTAGACCAGGATGAGATGAAAGCCACAAGTCCCATGAAAGGGGCCCTGGTCATGGTAGATAAATAAGCCTCTAGTGAGCAGCACCCTTTGGGCACCTGGGCCACCCCTTCATTTCCCTGTGGTAAGGCTGTCCAAGCTCTGCAACCCAGCATGGCCAGGAACTTTCAAGGCAGCTTGGGACACTCCTGAGCAGCTGTCCACATTCCCCATCCAACATTTTCCATCTGTTGTGACCTCTGTTCTGGCTTAACCTGCCACTATAGGAGGCTGAGGCAGGAACAGCTGGCCTATCCTTGATGTCTTCCTCCGGATCCAGCTGGACTCAACCACCAACCCATAAAATGTGCCAAAGGAGGGACGGGGTGCCATCTGTGAACAAGACCCAGGACTTCAAATGCTCCAGTACTTCAGTTACTAGTCACTGTCAGGCTTATTTGTCACCATTCCTAAAGAAATGGCATCCCGGGGTCTCAGGACCTTACTTCCTGCCAGGCTTGACCCAGGTTACCTCATTAGCTGGAGAGCCTCTCATCACAGATTAAATCAGCACTACCCAGCCCCTAGTCTGGGGATAAAGAGCCTGCTGGCTCTCATTTGGGTAAATTCCTGGATATACATCACTGGTTGCCATGGAGCCTAGCACTGGTCAGAGCCAGGCTTGGCAGAAATGGGGGAAGGGAGGTACCCAACACCCCACAATCCAAGAAGCTGAGCCATGTGAGCCACAAAGACAGTGAGTGTCCTATGGCGACGTGAAACAGGCTCATCAGATAGAGATGGAAGAGTAAAGCTATGCTTGTCATCCCACCACCCTGTAAGCAAACCCTTCACCATAGGACTCAGTGCTAATATCCCATCAACAGTCATAAGACTTCGGGAGCAGGTGGGGGGGGGGGGGGCTTTGTAGGAACCAGAGGCCATGTTGCCCTTGACTCACAGTAGATGGGAAGATGAGGAGCTTACTGGCCCTGCTCAGCATTCCAAGGTGGCAGAAGGAACAGGATATTCCACAGAAACCAAGGTAGAACCCAGCAAAATAGATCAGCAAGTTAAGGAGCTTGCCACCAAGTCTCATGGCCTGAGTTCAAATCCCAGAATCCAAGTAAAGATGGAAGGAAAGAACCAACTCCCACAAGTTGTCCTCTGACTTCCACACAGGCCATGGTATATGTGTGTGCACATACATACATATACACATATACAAATAAATGAACTTTAAAAAAAAAAGTTAAAAAATAAAAAGAAACTAAGGTGGGCAATATGTTCAGCCATCCTCAGGACTCCTGCTGTCCCTGGGTCTCCAAACCTCAGTTTCTCCATCTGTAGAGTGCTGAGTGGCTCCCTCCTTGCTGAGAGTCTGGCTAGCACCTGAGACTGTATGACCAGGGGGTAGAGAAGGATCTCCTCTGGAAAAAAGGCAATGTCCCCTGTCAGAGAACAATATGTCCCCATCACCAGTTACAAGGAACTGAGAACCAAGGTACCAGCCTCATGAGGCTCGTGGGCACAGTCACACAGACACTGACATGCAAGTGAGCACTCCCAAGGACATCCTCACTTGACAGCAGCAATGGCTCCCTGGAGAGGAAGGCATAAAAGACTCCACCCCACAGCCTGCTTTCAGGACTGGTCAGGGCAGCCCTCTCCAGGCTATTCCTGTCTCCCTGCTTAAGTCCATGTGTCAACATTTAAATCCACCCCAAGCACATGCAACAGCTATAATTTCCCTACCTCCTCCCCTTGACACCCCCAGCCCTCTACTCCCCCCTCTTCCAAGCCCACCTCCCACCAAATCTCTAAGAGCCCCACATGGGTCAGGTCCCTGAGCCCAGGCAGACTTACGATCACCACCTGGCAGACATGCCCACGGCAGAGCTCCGAATAGGATGAGTAGTGCACATAGACCATCCAGCTGCCCACGAAGATACCCAGCCAGACCAGCAAGACATACTTGACCCTGAGGCCTGGGAGCCGGCCCTGCTGAGGAAGGGACCAAGTGAGGAGGTGCCCATCTGTGCCCATAACCAAGGGCAGCTTCCACTTCTTTGAACCTTTCACAGCCAGCCTTCCAACCCAGCTGGCACCAACCAACTCCAGTGCTGAGAAGCACTAGCTCAGCACCTCCCATTATCAGGCATATGCCAGGGTCTGCAGTCAGGGGCTCTCCATCAGGGACAAGTAGACATTTATTTCAAAATGAGGAAAAGATAAAGCTGAATAAAGATCTTTTTACAGCCCACTCCCTTAAAATGCCCTCCTTTCTTAACATGCCTGCCTCCAAATAAGGTGAGCTGAGCCATCGGTCAGGGGCTATGGCCCTAATTTTTCCCACTGGTCCCCTTGAGTCAGAA